TTAAATTTTACCAGAGAGGGACAGAGGGAGAGAGAAAGTGAAAGAGGGAAAGTGAGAAAGCAAGCCACCAGATCCAGGACTTGAACCGCGTGGGAGTCCAGTGCCCTTTACCACCATGCCACTTGCTGGCCCCACAAAAACAATTCTTAAAAATATGTTTTTAGGGACCAGCAGAGAGAGAGAGAGAGAGAGAGAGAAAGCAAGTACACCAGAGAGAGAGAGAAAAAAAACACAACCACCAGTGGGGTGTGGTCATGGTGCAGTCCCTTCCACTTCCCCCCATCAGGATTTGGGGCATGCATGCACATGTGCCCAGCATGTTTTTTAAGTCACTAGATCCAGGACTCGAACTATGAAGTCAGCCATGTGGGATCCACCTATATTTTAAAAGTAATATAGGTGGATCTATTTAATAAATAGAGTATTTTATAATGGAGAATTTCTTAATCTAATAATTTTTATTACTTTACTAAGTAATATTTACTGTTCAAAATATCTACTGTAAAGCTGGCATAATGACTTTTTTTAAAGAATTATTTTTATTAAACTTTATTTATTATTATTATCATTATTATTTTCCAGTTTGATCAGAGAGACACAGAGAGAGAGAGAGGAAGTGAGAAAGCAAGCCACCAGGTCCGAGACTTGAACCGTGGTCGGCCATGTGGGAGTCCAGCGCCTTTTACCACCATGCCACTTGCTGGCCCCAGGCTAGCGTAATGACTTTTTAAAGCTCCTGTATAAATGAGGAATCTTGTTTAAAGAAGTAAAATGTATGCTATAGTACACAGTACAGATATAGTTAACTTTTTTTTTTTTTTTTTTTTGGCCAATATTATTTGGACCCAAATACGCCCTATGTTGGGTCCTAGGGATCTCTTGGAAAGCTAAATAGACATTCTTTCTGAACATAAAAGAATAACTTGTATAAAAACTGCCAAAATGTTTATACCTTGATGAGATAATTTTGCCTTCATGGAATACTTTTCTGTAAAGAAACTTTGTGGTAGTTAGTTCCGTAGTTCAGAATCATGAGTTGATTGAAGAGCAGCCTACTACTCAGGAGAGGAGCCAGGATGCAGATGCATTCATGGAAATTGGCTTGGCCAGGTCTACCACCTAGAGATAGAGTGATCTGGAGGCCTCTTAGAACCACACTGACGTCTCAGAGTGTGGAACAGTAGCTCCAAAAAATATCTGGAATATATGTAACGCTATACATACTGAGGGATTCCTGCT